CTGAAATGGAGCCTGATCGGCCTATCGGTTATGGTGCATTTGGGGTGGTCTGGTAAGTCCCGCTGTCATCTTAGCACACTGATTTAAGATGACCGTCTGTTATGTTGTTACACTACCATTCAAAAGTTTGGCATCTGTAAAAAAAAATTTTTTTTTAAGTCTCACCTTGGCAGCGTTTATTTGATTACAAATGCAGTAAGAACAGTCATATTGTAAAATATGTTTACAATTTAAAAATTCTTTTTCAATGTGTTTTAAAGTTGAATTAAAATTTGACCAATTCCCAACGTTTTGGCAGTGGTGTTATATTACACACTCTGGCTATCCATTTGCATTGATAGGTCTGTGACGGACCCTCGGGATGGACGTAAGGTGGCTCTGAAGAAAATGCCGAATGTCTTCCAGAACCTGGTCTCCTGCAAACGTGTGTTCAGGGAACTCCGGATGCTGTGTTTCTTTAAACACGACAATGTAAGTTTTGCGGGTGGAAAAGGGAAGCTTGCATGCATGGGTGGGCATAAAAAGAGAGAATGGGTTTATTGTGAAAGACCGTGTGTGTGTGTTTTCAGTTTTGGAACTTTGCATTGCATGTTTTTTGTAATGATGGGGATTTGCTTTGGTAGGTGCTGTCTGCCCTTGACATTCTCCAACCTCCACAAATCGACTGCTTTGAGGAGATGTATCCTTCAGACTCATGCTTCACCTGAAGTTGTTCCCCTCTGATACTTTTTAACTTTATTATTTTATTCTCTTCGTGCCTCAGTACTAAGGGGATTCAAGGGGTGTTCCACTCAAAAATGAAAATTCTTTCATTATTTATTTGTACTCATGCCATCCCAGATCAGATGTATGACTGATTTTGTTTTTTAGAAAAATAATCTTTTTTTTTTTTTTTAGTCCATATAATGCAAGTGTACAGGACCCCCCAAAGCTGATACTTAAAAAAACCACAATGGTAAGACATATGACCCCAGATGATGCATCAGTGTCTTCAGAGGTGGATTGTCTTCATCTGTGTTCATCTGAAGAAAGTTGTTCTAAACCTGTGTGAGCTTCTTTTTTTCTGCTGAACACAAAAGAAGATGTTTTGAAGAATGTTGGGAAACAAACAGTTGCTGACAGCCATTGACTTCCATATTAAGGGAAAACAATACAATAGAAGTCAATGGTTTCCGGCAACTGTTAGGTTACCCACATTTTTCAAAATATCATCTTTTGTGTTCAGCAGAAGAAAGACACTCATACAAGTTTGAAACAACTTGAAGGTGAGTAAATGATGACAGAATTTTTATTTTTAAGTGAACTATCCCTTTAAGTAGTTGATTTGTTTCCATTAGGAGTGTTTGACGGTATATATCATGCGGCAGATGGTATAACGTTAAACCGCAGTAGCTGTATTTGCATGTCTATCAGTGTTGTACTTTGTTATCAATGTGAAAGTGGGAGACATGGAGTAAAGGCAGACCAGAACATGACCCAAACATGTGAAGACCAGGAAAATACCGTGTAAAGAGTTTAGCTGTTTGCAGAGCAAATTGGTGTATTAATATTGAATGTAACTTGCATATATGTGTATTTTCTGTTTTGCAGGGACTTAGAATTTGGAACTTTTAATCTTTATAATATAATTTTTTACAGCACAGGCTAGTATTTATTTTTAACTCTGGTTTAACATAATGTGAAGCTGGTTTTGCACTTATTAATTTATGAATGTCCTGGTTTGCATCCAACATCCAAAATTAACAGCCTGCCAAGCGCCAAATACAAGTGACAATTAGCTTTGGCGAGTAAATTTGCAAGTAGCTGTGTTAGGAAGTGCAAAATGCTAGAAAACCTTATATATAAATAATTCCACTGCCACAGTAATAGATTATACAAATATTAGGGCTCCAAAACGATTAATCGCATCCAAAATAAACGTTTTTGTTTACATAATATGTGTGTGTACTGTGATTATTTATTATGTATATGTAAATACACACATACATGTATAAAGGAAAATGTATATATAAAATATTTATATGTAATATAAATTATATAAATATATACATGTAAATATTTTAAAAATGTACACTGAATGTTTGTGTATTTATATATACATAATAAATATACACAGTACACACACATATATTACATAAACAAAAACCTTTATTTTAAATGTGATTAATTGCGATTATTTGTTTGACAGCACTAGTTTACATCCTATATGTGTGTACTGTGTATATTTATTATGTATATGTAAATACATGTATAAAGGAAAATTTATATATAAAATATTTATATATAATATAAATTATATAAATATATACATGTAAATATTTTCAA